AATAACAACGAATATTCGAATGGAGAGTGGCAATATCGTTCGTCGAGTTTGTTGAATTAGACTCATCAATGTGTTAAATGTTAAATTTTCCAGCTAACTTTTCATCTCATCATTTCCAGGAATCTTAGTGCCTTGGTCAGGGCAAAAAAAANNNAAAAAAAATCATCCTACATGCATGTCTACAATGATTACGCACGACTGCGAGGTTGAGGAAATTAATTTGCTATTGATTTCATTACGCTAAAAGAATTCAATGCCATTTTTATGTGTGCATGACAAATTCTCTATCGAAAATAAGATTGAATGCTTTCTAATGATTTTGCGGCTGATACGGACCTAAGCATTAGTTTAAGCACTAAGCCACTTAAGCACTTAAGCACATTTACGACTTCAGCATTTTTAGAGATGAAAATTTTCAGTCTCGCCACTGGAGTCACAAACGCGAAGGACTATTTTAACCGTCTCAATCAGCCATCGATAAGAGCCGAATCGTTGACGAAAACGTTCGCCTGCAAAATTTGATACGAAGAATGTTGGTGACTGAACTTTTTCGTATGAATGACAAGTTATTTTTTGCCGAGTCTGACGAGCGAGCACCAGTCATTGAAGTAGGAACAGTGTGAGATCAACACTACGAAAGGATGAATAATTAACAAATTGCCTATTTCGTAACATTATGACGAATGTTTCGTTGAGAATCGTCTGTACGCTTATTTCTCTTCGAATTCGAATTCTATAGAATTCGAAAATTGACTGAAGTATTTTAACGTTTTTGCATTCGTTATTTCATTAGTGCATTCGTTTTCCACTCTTTATATATAGGAAAGTCATTTGTGTTAGAGAATTGCTTGCACAGATTCACATAAGATTCATTCACTAGAATGAGCCACTGAATGAATTTACTGCGTTTCACAAAACATGCGAATATTTTAGTGGTACAGTAATGAGAGATGGACGTAGTGCCAGTTGGTCAGTCATAAGCGATATGTTAAGAGCTGAATCGTTTTCCATAAAAACAATGCAAAGAAGCAATTCATCTCGATATTGAATGCAAATTTATGCATTTCATTAATTTTTTTCCAATCGCATTTAACGTTCAACTGTATTGCGTGTGATTATCCACAAAAACGGCAGCATGCAAGTTCGATTGATATACGGTTAGTAGTTGGTTTGCACCTGCAAAAAACGAGATACAATCATGAGAACATAAACAAGAAGTCGCATTCCATGCATTGCGAACATGAAACGTTGACGCATTTTTGAGGGAATTAATTCATCTTGGACGTTTTCATTCCAGCCAAAAATGTTGCGATTTCAAGCGGTACCGTCAGTGAAATTTTTTTTTGAAGTTCGATTTTTTTGTGCAGATTCGTTTGCGGATATTTGATTTCTGAGTTTTGATTTGATCGCTTAAAGTGTTTTCTTTTTGAGTCTTTCGTTTGTTTCTCATCAGTTGAACACTACATTATGCATACACAGAGTGCAGCTAATTACTGGGAAACATTCTCGATCTGCTTTCGCAATCAGCAATAATCCCCTATTTACTTACGTTAGCTCACGGCTACACTATGGGTCGTCAAAGCTTGGTCGGCTTATGAAGCACAGACATATAAAGCCTTTTGAGTATACGTATTAATCACTCTTTGATGCCTTCGATACGAACAAGTACTTTGCATGATTCAGTGAACGGTATTGTTCAGTTAATCCATTGTTTCCATTCAGCAGTTGTCGTAGGGTCTGTGCAGTAAGTTCACTTGGATTTGTGATAACTTTTGAATAATTTGTTTTGAATAATTTCAAAGCGTTATTCTTAACGAAACTGATTGTGAATAAGTACGGCTCATTTCCTCGGAAATATGCATTCATATTAATTTATTGCTTCATTCTATTGTGGTTTCTAAGCTCAGTTCAAGATCATCAATGATTTCGATTTAACCATTCATCTTCATTGTTCAAAATTGACTGAACAGCACAGAGCATTTATAATAGTTCTCCTCTTATTCGGTCGGCCAATTGTGAATGTCCATTTGTTATCGAAAAGTACAAGCATCAGTTTGCTAAAGAGGGCAGGCATATACAAACAACAGTTTCGGAATGTTTGAAAACGATGAGGAGAAGCCAATAACTCTGTTAAAGGTATGAATGTTATCGGTGCAAGCATCCGCCAAAAAAAACTAGCAATAGTTGTTTTTACAAGTATAATCATATGGTATGTTTATATCAGATACATGCCAGCTGTTAAATGTAAATCTTAAAAGGATGGCTGAATTGATATTATGCGAATAAGCGCAAACACGCAAATAACGGTGAAGAGAACGTTGAAGGCNGGGAATAAAAAAATTGGAACTGATGAAGTATTTTGTACATAATAAATATGTGTTCTAAAGATGACAGCTTTATGGGTGTATCATTAATTCATCTCGTTACACACGCATCTAACGATTTTTTATGGAAATATGCTCATTCCATTTGGTGCACACGTGCAGACTCACTCTTCTGCTCAGCACACTATTATCGTATATCGCCGCTCTTTATTAATCAAATCCAAAAAACTCTTATTGTTTGCAATATAATCGGACATGGCCTCGTTTCACTCATTTCTCATGCGATGAACAGAATCGTTTATGTGTTTATTATACAACGGTTCATCTGACCTAGCTGATTTACATTTGCATATCATCTCATTTGCATTCTGATAAAGAAAAAGTTGGGCGTGGGTTTTTTTGTTGTTGCAGGAAGTGGTTGGTCCTTTAGCGTTTTCTTTATTTTTTTCATTAAATCATCGGTGATCATTCAATATAACGGATGTGTGCCTCATTCTGAAATGTTTTTGTAGGATCTGTTGAGGCAGCGATCGTTTTCGGGACAGTTGTTGATGAAAGGCATTGGTGTGAGAGGAGAATTTTTTCATTTTGAAGCTCACAATAGCCATTCACAGGGATGGAAAACGTTCAGAAGTGAAAAAGATCTGAGCCCCATAAACTAGCCAAACAATCCTAATGTACATGGTGCATATTCATGGTTTCCAATTTGGGATTACATCTGAAAAGATTCAAGATTCATGGATTGATGCAATCAATGAGAAATTCGTTGTTTGTGAATTCATTTTGAAAACGTCGTTCTGATCAAGAAATGTGTATAAACGAAGAGGTTATCATTTGCGTATTCAATTTGCAATTAAGTGCACCTCTGAGTTTCTTCTCTCAAAACTATCACATGTGATCAATGAAATCTGAGTTGCTGAAAAAACTTGCGAATGACTGCGCGTTCTGTTGAATCATTTCGCTGAACTGTTTACTCAAAGGAAATGAGTAATGGCATCGACTTTGAGTCAAATAAACAGACTGCAGTTTTTGCGGGCCGATTGCAATCTGCAATGGGATTTTATAAACAAAACAGAGACGATGTTTTGTTTGATCGATGTGTGGTTGTTGTTTTTTGTTTTGCCATCAAAGGGTTCAACTAATCAAATATTTAAGCAAGTCAAAAACGATCCGTATTAATCAACTCAATCGAAAATGATTCGAACGGTTGTTTTTATTCCGATTATTCACAAAGTTAGAATTGGTATTAAGTTGATATTTACAAAACATCTCAATCAATTCACAGCTATCCATCCATCCATACTTTTTGTGGTGCTCTAAATCTACAAAGCACTTAAGTTGTATCCGAGATAAATAGACATATGTGAGATGGTTAAGAGTATCATTGAGTTGATATCAAACGGCGTGAGATTTGCAAATGATGTCACTTACTTCAGTGGATTGTGATTTTTATTCACAGATAGATATATCCATTGGCTGAATGAGTGGTTGTTGCACGATCAATAAGTTGTAATTTAGCTATCGCTGCTTCGATTGATACAAAGTATTACTAAAACAAAACATATCTCGTAGAGGATTGAATCGAGAAAACGCCATCAATTTTTTTTTACATTTCGAAATTACACAAGAGTAATCGTTTTTGCCAAAGTAAACTCATCAAATTAGAAGGAATCAAAAAAGGGATCAAACCGAAGCATTTTTTGGGTGAATTAAAACGGATGATAAATCAAATTTGGTACAGAGGAACGCAGTGGTCACCGAGTGAAAATGATTCATAGTGATCGTAAAATGTTCTTATCGAAAAATTTATCTGATGAAATGATTACATATCAGTTATGTTTGAATCTTCGAGTATGTTCAGTTCGAAGATTACATCAAAATCGGATTTCTTTTGCCGATGTTGAGTAATTCAGTGAATCACTTAAGGTGAGTGAATATTCCACTGATGAGAAACATTCACGAGACAAAACAAAAACGATGAATACCATATTCACGGCTTATATTCATCAACTGATTTATCAATATAAATCCAAATCTACTATCAACAAGATCAAGTTGGTCTGAATCAGCAGCAACACACAAAACTATGAACTGAAATTGTTTCACAATTTTGGCCGTTGATGTTCAACTGTCAATGTTTTCTACATATATTTATGAAGCTTCAGCGTTTGGAATACACCTCAATGAGTGCATAATCCATTTAGTTCAATTGCTATTTCGGCTGATCCAACTATCGCATTTGATAGTACTCGTGCGTATGGCTTGAACATCTGCAAATGACTTGCATAACGCGGTGTAAAGCTTGAGAATGTTCAACTACGACTAAAATATCAGAAACAAATCGATTTATTTCATTTGAACGGCTAGGAATGCGCATAATTCGGAAAACTGTGCAAATCACAATTTATTGATGAAAAAAATGAAATGATGACAAAGCATAACATATCGAATCGTGGCAGATGAGTACAAATTTCAAACGAAATTGAATGTATTCATCGTAAAGCAAGAGATTTTGAAACGAACGTACAAAATAACTGAAAAATATCAACACACTACATAAAACTACGGTGTGTCGCAAGATTCACATCATGAAATTGGAAAGAGTTTCTAAATTAACTTTGACAAAGCATAACATATCGAATTATTAAAACAGTTGAATGAACATGACTGGTTATATTATATTACAGACGTAAGCAGTGCAATAAAAGAAAAATGCGAGAATAGATGGATTCGGGGACTATCTGATGGAATGAAGCATCGTATTGCAACCGTGACAATGGATTCGAATCTGACGAACAATTCCATCAGATCAACCACTCGACTGCTGTATACTACGTAGTTTTGTCTCTGAAAATGATTGCATTTATCTATTTACAAAATAATCACAAGTGCGAATTAATTTTATAAGTTTACGGCAAGTCAATGAATAACAAATTGGTATTCCAACACCACAACAGAAAAAGTTCTTTGATAAGGTTGACCCGATACAATTTAACAAAGATCAAAGTGAAACTGCTATGAAACATTGTTAGAATGATAAAAAGCAACCCAATGCGGTAACATATTGATCGAGTATAGTTGCCGCTTCCTCCAACCGTCGCGAACTCTCATCAATTTCATCAATTTGTTGCAAATACGGACGTAGTGCTTCATCTGAAGCTACAGTCAGAAGCATATTTACTTTTCCGATAGATTACTTCTTCTTATGCATTATCATAAATGGATAGAAAATAATTTAAAAGCACTTTTGCCTCACTCTCAAGCAAACAATGAAATCCAACGGTTTCTAAAGAAGCACATTTTTCATTGAGTTGAGTGAGTTTAGCGGCAACACCAGATGCAACACACTTCATATCCTCATAACGCTGACCAGTCACCGTATTCATATCTTCAAGAAGTTTGTATTCTGCGATTGTACCTGAATTTGAAAATGATCTTTTGAAATGATGAACCAATGCTTCTGTTATACAAATATCAATCATGCTACAGACTATATTCGTATTCGTCACAAAATCAAACACATTCTATTCTTGCTCACCAATATTGTACCCCAGTGTAACGAATAACTCAATAAACCTTCAATCTGTCCTTGTAAATAATTCGCGACTTTATCGTACATATTATCAGCAAGTTGACGCATCTCTGAAGTAACCATCGTCGGTGCAGGCGTCGGTGGGCAATCTGTACTCGTGGACGCACGTTCGTTTATCATTTGTGCCATCGCTGATAACTGCTATCAGTTGGAGTATCTTTCTCGTTCCAAACAGATTTTGCTCCGAAAATGTCACTTTAACTCCAAATTCCAACTCTTATAACGGACTGATCTCAGTAAAGTGATAACAACTCATCAAGGAACTTTTTCAAACCTAGAGCACGCTGAACCTAACGGATATATAGATGTTTTGGACAGTGAACCTTAACGATGAGCAACAACACTTCAAATGCAATTGAAATGAAACTTTATCACAGTATAACAATAAAAACGTGAACATGAAAACTGACAAAATACGACATGACATATCAGAAAGAAGCATAAATCAATTAACAGCACTGATTTCAGTAAATTGTAGTCATTCACAAGACACCTATAAAAAAACAAACAACACGTCCAGACGTTATTTAAGAAAGAAAAAAACATGTTGCAAGAGAAGACCTCAAACTTTCCGTAAGACAATGACGGAACAAAAATTACAAGAATAAAAAACATATTAAGATACGGTATGTACAGTAACTGAGCACAAGAAAAAGAACATGCAGTCATCTCCACTATTCAATTCAAACTTTGGTAGATCAAGCGAAAGAATAGATATCACTATATTGAAATAATCATGATGCATTAAATGCGAATCAAGATGAATGATAAACAGCGTCACTCATTGCACGAAAATAACAACAACAGTAACATAATAAATTACAGTTGACCCTGTAGAACATTCCATTTCAGAAATGTGTATATAATGCTGAAAAAGTTCAAATCACTTCATCAGGAGGAAGATAAACTAGGCAGACGTAGTTTGATTCGTTTTGAAGTAATATTTGAGAGGTGCGTTTCATTTCCACGAGCAGCTGGAACAGCGATCTCACTACCTGAAAGTTTTCAATTCTGACTTTCTAAGAACAGATCTGACGAAAATGATAAAAATGAACTATTAGTGGACCTCAAAATGTTCACGCTAACGATCTCTAATATAATAATTAAAAAGAGGGATGAGTTCTCATGATTTTGTGTTAAGAGGAATATGGACGAAAGAAACGATCAAATAATCCAGTAGCAGTATACAGCCAAATTTTGGGCAAAAACCTATCACTTTCAGATATTGTGTATGTGCCACTTAAAACTCGTAAGACTCAACCGTGCACATACTAGATCCCCTTCTTCTCGGGAGATAATAAGAGGTTGAAGTGTAAAGTCAAAATATCAATACTTCTGAGATAACGGGAGGATCTAGAGTAGAAACCTTTATCGGCGGTCCGAGGGATTGTAGACGGTTGCTGGATTGTGGTCGAAGTTGTTAAAGAAGTAGATGCAAGCTGAATATTGTTTCCGAACGTTGACGAAACTGCTGCTGTATGAGTGCTTGTTAGTGTCGCTGAGCTATCACTCGTCAACATCCACCTCGGCTTCTTTGTTAAAACAACTTCCTCATTATATTGAATTGATTTCGTTGGTCTACTTAATGAAATTACCATAGATGTATCATTATCCGCACTGCCAGTTTGTTTTCCCATCTCATTATTCGAATTCTCAGTCCGAACAACCTTACGGTTAGTTATTGGCGCACGAGGAGCTGATAACGACGATAAAGCATCGTGTAGTCGACTATTCATAGCCATACCAATTACAGGGTGCAACTGATTCCGAATAGTATGCGAGTCACCTCGACAGGATTGATTCATAGTCATTGATAATGGAGATGGCTGGGTACGGGATGGTTCAATTTCCTCGCATTTGGGAAGCTGAGTTGCAGAGCTTTTGTGGAGGGTGATATTACTGTTGAATTTCACATTAAGTTTTGGTGGAATCGTGGTGCGCACTCTATTGGGTCGTACTGATCCCAGCGAGGGGATCAATGCAGATGAAGAGTTTTGCTGGATTGATTCAATCAGGCTGTTAGTTTTAATTGGGGCAAGAGTAGATCCTCCTTCTGGTAGCAGTCGTTCAGTAATCCTTGTTGGTTCGGTTTTCACTGGTTCAGATAAGGGTTTCTGAGCAGTTCTTGTTGATCCAGGTGAACGACGGTATGTGGTACTAGGTGCTCCAAGAAGAGGTCGCTGTAAGATTCTCGCCGATTCAACCATGGGTTGTTTCAGGGCTTCTGAAGGTCTCGATGAAGATGGCTGGAAAGTTTCTGATGCCCTGGATGGAGGTTTTTGAGGGAATTCTGATGGTTTACGTGGAGATCCTTGAAGAGATTGAGATGATATAAACGGGGCTCGACAGCAGAATTCCGACGATTTAGGCAAGGGTCTCTGATGTTTTTTTGTTGCTTCAGATGTGAACCGACGAAGTGGAGAAGTTCTTTCATCAAACGAAGCGGTAGATTTTGGTGAGTTGTACACATTTTTGCACAATTCGGGATGATCGTTCTCATGAACTGTGGATTTCAGCTTTCGGTCTCTGAAAGCCTTGTCATATCGCTGATTTCTTTGATAATTTGGCGACTGTTTTGATTTTTCATTCACTTCCTTTATTGTCCATTGTTTGTTTTCATAACTCGTGAGTTGATTTTGCTTATTCGCAACTTTATTAGAGAACCCTTCATTGTCATTATCCACACAGTCAAGTGACCGTGTGACCTGAGCTAGTTTGCAGCTATCAGGTTCTTTCCTTTTCTTTGTCGCAAAGGGCTCACGAACGGCCATCCTCTGGTCAAAATTAGATGAGGATTTAGCAATATGACGATGTCTGACTGGAATTTGAGGTGGAGAAATAGGAGTCGATAAAAGAGGATGATTGACACTGTTATGCTTCTTTTGATTTGTTACAGCATCTTTGTCAAAATTCTGAGTTAAAACATCCTTGTTAATGACTTCAGTTTGAGCATGTTGATCCTTTTCTGATGAGTGACGAGATTCACATTTGCTGGATTCTTGTTTTCGAAGCTGATCGCGATGTGGTTTTCGGCGACGACGTCGCTTCCCCGAATATGACTGGTGCTCTCCTGAGTGAGTTTCATGGCGTCCTAATAGGTCTGATGAAGACGCTTTCAACAATTTCTGATGCGTTGAAGACTGCATTTGCCGCCGATCAAGTCGACCGCTGTTCTCAGTCTCGCTTTTGTGTTTACGTGCTTCCGCATCTTTGTTTTTGAAATGATGGCTTCTGGATCGGTGAGATGGTGATGCAGTTGAAGCGCGATGTGATGATATCCGAAGAGATGAAGCGCGTTCTGCCTTCACTGAACTGGCTTCGAAACTGCCACCTGAAACGATTCAACAACTGAACATAATTCATAAACTGTTCGCAACAGAAATGTTGAGAAGATGTGTCAATATCGATGCATTTCACTGATTCATTGGCTTGGAAAAAACACTGCACTATTGCAATGTTCTAGTTTTAGAACCTTCTGAGCAATCAGCTATGAATTTCAGACAAAAATATTGAAGAGTCGAAGGAATAGAGTAAATTTAGGCCATTATTTATTTCGGCGTCCAGTAAACAACAACTTGAATCACATGTGAACAATTCGTTTCTAAAAATACACAGGATCTACAACCTTTTAAAGGGATGCTGTTGCCGATGCAACAATACGACGCATGAATATATTTATTCATGGCGATCGTTACTTTAACGAGATCACGGAGTGAGAGATTGGGAGGATATTTTCGTTTTAATTTCAGCGACACACAACAATCGGAATGGCTATTTGAAGATCTGTCAGTGGCATTTTCACTATTCTTAAAGTAAAGATTCAGCATTCACGAAATCTAGTTTCAACGGATGAATGTGTGTCACTTTCAGCGACCTCTTTGGGGTAATGGCCATGATCACCTACTGCATTCAGTCTATGTGAAACAAGTATATGCTTCACAATACAGCTTTGAGTTAGCAAGCAGATGGACGTTTGCGCTTGACGTAACTGAAGTTTCCCGTTTGATTGTGAAAACGCTTGATTTGCTTATTGCTCTTCTTCGTAACATCACAAAATCGGCGAATAATTACGTGCCCCATGATGATTGTATGGTGGCCGATTTGATGAACGCATAGAACACCATGTAATATCATAATTTCATCATGGTCAGCAATAGACGCTTGCTAATTTAAGTTTGATAACCGATCTCGTTGAGACCGAACTTCATACCAGTTAAACAACTTTCTTGGCACTCGATATGCAACTGGCGGAAATCTCAGAGTCTTCCCATTCTGCTCCACGATCATCCATCAGGTTTCCTCGATCTATATCTTCTCTCGCATTTTTGTATCCAAAAATATTTCACAATGGTCTCTTCTAGACCTTCCCGCATATTATATGTCGATAGTTTCGTTCATCGTCGGAATCATCATCCACAATTTTCTCTCGAATTTTTTATGACTTCTTTTATGATGGAATCATCCAGAGTTTCATGCTTCCTCACATTCATACGATACTTCATTGTAGAACTGATATGAAACGTTTCTGATTATTGGTATGCCACATTGCAATAGAGTTTGGTGATGACACTACTAGGTGTACTTCATCGCAAACGAACTCTTTAGAATCCAATCTTAATGAGAGCGTATCAAGGATCACATTCGATCTGCGTTCAACGAGACAAACATTTGCGTCAAATAAAAACGAGAATCTTCACTCTTATCACAGTGCATCACCAATCTACAGCGACCTTAACATTCCATCGATCGATTCTGCAATCCCCATCATCACTCTCACTAGTTGCTTCTCGAGTTCCCAGACGCAATCAGCGTCGTCAAGATTCTCACTGTTACTTGATTACCGCCTCTCTCAATTCTTCAACGACAACTGATCCACAATACGAATCATTCCAGAATACTTCTCCATTTCGTTTCCATTTCGTTAACTACAAATGTGATCCTTCAAACGCTGCCCGAGCTGACTTCACTATATTGTCACTATTAGACGCTGCAGTAGTGCGAACAACCACTGCCGAGTGCTTCGGAATTCCATAAGTCAATTGTTTCTTTGATTCTGCTACCGACTGCTTCAATACTCATTTTTTGAACATTCCTGAGCCAACCACTTCTTTTCAAATTGTAATAATTCTGAATGTGATTTGCATTTTTCCAGTCATTTTCGACTTCTGTGGGTTATTTCCTTTGAGACAAGCATAAATCATACAAATATAAAGCCTCATCCATTCGTTGAGAAATGGATCAACCAATTTCCACACTAATGAACTCTTTGTGGCACATTTTTAATGCCTTAGTTAGAAAATTCGCTTCAATCCGCTCTTGCTTAGTCATTCAGAGACGTGTTTTTGTTTCGTTCCATCCCAATGATTCTTCAGTATTCGATGATTCGCCTTCCTTAATATCATCCCGGTTACCGATAGCTGTGAAGTAGTGCTGGCTTCGATCCTCTCACCAACACCAAACGCTTGCCACTGATGTGAATAATGCCACTGTTGATTTGACCGGATATTTGAACAATTGCTTAAATGAGTCATGAGTGAAAATTTCCGGAATGAATAGCGATTGTCTACCATCTGAATGTCGTTCTTCTTGTTTCTCATAATCGCTTAGCAGTTTTGTTGCATGACCATTCGCAGATGGTTCCATTCGATTTGCACATCTCGAACTTGCACGCGAACTCTGACTTTCCTCACTGTTCATGGACATAAGCTCTGGTGCTACTTGCGTAGTGTTATATTCGACGGTTAGCGGTTGATTTGCCGCTCTTCTAACGGCCTCCTCATCTACTTCACCTGACAAGTCCGGCCAATCCCCTTCATCGGCCCATAAAGGATCGTCCTGATTCGAACCATTCTCGACCGTCACATCTCGAAATCGATCGCTGAAAGTAAGCAAAAAATGAATTCAGCTCGTAGTTCCATAAAAGATAGTTCTGACATAAAATTACAGAAACACTGAAATTTAATTTGAGATTAAGCACAGCATGCACCCAACCAATGAACGCCGAACATCTACTTCATAGATCAGAATAATACCTCTTTTCAAAATCCAAGCTGTCTGTTCGCAATTCTTCTTCAACTTTCATGTTTGTTTCATTCTGCTGATCATTCGCCGGAGTCAATGGACTCTCTTCATCGCTATCACCTGTAAGCAAACAGAAGATCAGAAGTCAAAATGTACGACATTTCCTCACCTTTTTTCTCTCAATACCATCATTCCCAGGAAACAGGTAAATAACTAAGAATGTAGGCACCGAATTATTATAAAGATCAAAACACACAAGAACCGATCAAGTGAGATTCATAGCAGTAAAAATCAAGCAGTTCGTTGCGCCCAGTGATGAGGTTAATACTGATGATCAACTCGAGAAATCAAAACAATCTGCATTCCAATACACTTACAACAATCGACTTCCTCGAGAGTGACTTCGTCCCCAACAAGTCTCAGCAAGGCTTTACGTGCTCCAACGCTTCTATCATCACTTTCATGCACAACAAATCCACCAACTACCGATCCATTATTCATCACCACTTCTTCTTTTGCTTTCTCCGATGTGAGCAACTTAATTCGTTCTTGTTTGCACCTCTCCAAATACGCCTCATAGTCAGGATGCTTCCCAACCGGCAAAAAGCGATGCTTCCCAAAAGCGCCGCGTGAGAAACCTCTCGAAGCATTCCTCATGCGCCAAGTCCGCCCACGATTTCCACTTCGTTTGAAATTTGACGATGAAACGGAAACCGTGTTCCCAGATACACCATCTTTGAGCGTTTCAACCATAGGATTGTCTGCTTTATTCATCGAGTGTTCTGTTGCGTTTCGATTGCAAACGTTTTGAGCACTCTGAAATTGAAATCGACAGTGATCCATGTTCAATGAGCACAAAGCACTACTTCGTAATGACCCACATTCAATGAAACGAGAAAAATACGGACTGGAAAAAAAGAGCATTTGGATGAATCAAATTACTACAGAGCGATTTTCTTCAACATACGCGGTCCCTCGTGTTATCCATTTTCTCGCTTGATTTTATTATCCATTTTCTTCTTTCATCCCTTTACCGGGGAATACTCGCTTTCAAAAACCATACTTTCGAAAATGTTCGCTTTCAACAAAAAACGTTATTTGAAATCTCAATTCGCAATAAAAAATATTCTTCTAAGATTGCTCTGCACAAAATCACTCAAAACGAATCACTCATCCTATTAACAAAACTCATCCGAACAGTGCTCTTGATGAATTTCTTCAACAAAAAGTGGCGATTCTTAAAAGGTTCACAAGATGAAGGAACAAATGAACTTGCAGCTGTTCGTTCAATAGAAAAACAAAAAGCTTACAGTTGATGGCTGGTCACTGCTGTCGTCATCTTCATCTACACACATAAATCCTTCCAATACGAATTCAGCATCCTCAAAGGTATAGTATTTAAAACGATATTTAATACATTATATTGTTTAAATTAAATGTGCCGATTTAGCTATCGAATTAGATCATTATTATAACTAACGATAAGTTTAATTTTAACATAAATTATAATAACAATCCTATCCAAACACTGAATAAATTCAAATAACCAAATGAATGCACTTATATGAGACTAGGAGTGGAAGAATGACTTACTATTTCAGTATCCATAATTTTGATTGGTTAGAGAGTAAGATAAATAGCTGATTGGTTAGTGGATCAATTAACTCGACCGTAAACCATACAAATATTAATATGCAGTATGGTCAGCGCGGCTTTCATAGATGAACAAGAGGTGTTATACAAGGTTGAAAGCTAGCTACTTCCAGAAACGTATTTGTCTACACAGCCGAATAACGGTTAAAACAATTCATCGTTTAGCGATGCACTTCACCTTTTTGAATAATAATACACTCCCGTTCTGAAAAAAAAACAACGATGACACGATTTTAGGGAGATCATTGCGATCAACGACCATCCAATAAAACAATCGAACAGTCATTGGGGTCAACGCACTTGAACACATATAGAATACATGCGAGAAGATCATATTCAACGTCACGCAAAATTCGATTCGTAAATTTCACATTTCGATTCAGAGCACGCAATCAATCACAACGGAATAACGCGGCACTGTGTTGTAGGTCAAAGCATCAGACTCAATCGAACCTTTATATCAACGTCGATCTCATAACCACACCCAATTTTTTGTCAGTGTGATGGAACCACTCCGAATTTATCTGGATTCTAAGAAAAGATGAACGATCGAAATGTTCTACTTAAATTCATTTTTACATTCGCAATAAATAAAGCACACAACTGACGTATTCAAGAGCAGCGTAAAACAATATCATCAATTGTCACGATATATTGCGACGATTATCAAATTGCGTTCTCTCCTCAACGCAATCCGAATAAACGAATTCAAGAGCAATACGTACGTACAGAATCGAATTCGGATTGTATCGACGCGGAATGAGAATCAGAAGGCAAATGAAACGAATTAACAATCATTGAATAACGGATTCGATGAGAACCCATCGAATAGGAAATGAATCTTATCGATCACATAAGTGAATACATCAAAAAATGAGTGCAAAAAAGTTTTATTTATTTCGTTTCATTTACATAATTAAAAACAAATGACAACAACAACAATAACAACAATAATAATAATAACAATAACAACATTTCATAAAATCAATGAAAAACATTTCAATATCGCAAACAATAATAAAGTTACGTAAAACTATTCGATTTTTTATCCATCGCCGAATATTTTCTTTCCCTACAAAACACTACCGAAAATCGGTGAAGGTCGAATATAAGTGAAGAGACATGTGAAATAAAAAACTTTCGAAACTGAACAAATAATGTTTCTTCTACGTTCACTTAATCGCACCGCAATAAAGTAAAACACTGCATAAGATAAAACATCAGTGGATAAACCATTATATTTCAAGTACTTTAAGTGCTTAAAGAAACCATTAAAAAACATAACAACTTGCTTGAATTAGAAAATGTGAAAATTCCAGACATTTTCATCAAACAAAGAAAAATCTGATTGAGCGGTCGGAATTTTAATATAAAGCTAGCAAAACTATATTGATGACTTCTTAAGACTTGATTGTAAAATGCGTTTAAGAAAACTTTCACTTACATTCAATAAATCAGGGTGGACGGGAAAAATGTGCAGAATAAATTTGATGATTCTCTGTGAATGAGAAATTGCTTTCGACATTTGCACAAACATAAAAGAAATGCACAGTTCTCATGAAGTTCCGAGCACAACATAAACCGTTGAATAGATTCACTCGATTCTAGTCTATGCAATTTGTTTGATGAATGAACATTCCTGACTTTCTCATCTCTCATTCCCAATTTTCCTTTCTACGGATCATCCCACCTTCACGAACGTTGAATGAAAAAAAATCAGTTGAAATTCCCAGTGAACGCATTACAAATTCTTATCGTATAAACAACACAACAATGAGATCAATGCTTCGCACATCTAAGCAATGCTCCCTAAAACATAAATAAATACACTCGCACAATACAGATACATAAATATCATTTATAACCGTTCATCAACATTCCATTCTCCTAATATTGGATCCAAATCGGCCCTAGCGGAGGCGCTTTCATCTTCTCGAAATCAAGCCTCTTATCCAAATCCTCATCCAATTCACCAACCACCGCACTGAAAATTCGATCACTTTTGTAATATAACAGATGGAGATCACAGTCCAAATAAACGATCGTCAAAAGAAGTTTAATAATCTGATGAGAAAGGAATATAATGATTGCGGTGTAATATTGAGGAATGAATTCACACCACCCTTTTATTAGGATAATAATAGCAGAGACATTATTAACACGAATAGACAGATGTACACTCGAGAACTGAAACGAATACAACAAGGAAAGAAATGTGCATTAAGAAGCAGCCAGCCAGCAGTACTTTACGACGCAACATGTCATCCGAGATGATCGGTCGTGCACTTAAAGCAATACACACGTTTTGCTGCAATTATTGCCCGATGCAAAAATCATAATGGCAATTTGAGACGATAATTTATGCCAATTTGAACACTTTTCCTAACATTCATCATTGGCTTTTTCAGTCATTTCGAAAATAAGACCAACAACAAACCACTGAATAGAAACTATTATTATTCACTAACGAATACATCGAGCACATTCTCAAAAATGCATTACCATTTGTTTAAAATTATTGTGGAACAGAGCAATATGAATGGTAAGCAATCATAATCTTCACATACGGAATATTCTATCAGATAACATTGGAGCGGATGGATAATTTCAAAAAAGTGTTTTCACACTGATATTCGTCAATCTTAGCCCTACCGCTGCCAAAATTCAAAGACAACAGAGTAAGATAAACCAAATAGTTGAATGGTAAAGACCTTCTAACAATTTGTCACAGTCAAACGCGATTAAATCAGCAATCTGCGGACGATTCTATGTTAGTAGACTGCAAAAATCGCAGCTTTTGAACACATAAATATAAGTAAGAAAAAACAAGAGCACTAGCAAATAACTTTTTAAATAGCATTCAAAAAAAACATGAACAGCCCATGTTCAATGGGATTCTATTATTTAAAATAAACAGAAATTAATTCTTTCTCGATTTTAAACTTTTATAACTGATTATCATTTACAACTGCTAATGCGACCATTCCCTAGCAAGTGAATTTTAAAGAAAAACGAGGCCGATTTCGATCATACAATAGACCGATTTGTTCAAATCAAAATGAATTTCACTCGTACGAGTGATTGATTATTCAACTTTTTCAATATCAATAATGCAAAAGAAATGGATGAAATGAAGTACATTTAAAGATATTGATGAATGGTTTGCAATTAGGCACGAAAATGAACGTAACAGTTGAGCAAGCAGTTGTTCGGTACGGTTATTACAGCGCATTCATTCGTAATCGACATGTGGAAAATATGAACATTATGACTTCAAACTGTGCAACCTTGAGATTTAGAGACAAACAATGATGGAAATTATGGTCATAATTGGAATTGTTACTCTTAAATGAATAAAAGAACTGAACGTTTACATGTTTACAGATTGTGGTACTAAGTTAGAAATAATGTAATAATTCAGAATTTGGCACTTTTGCTGATAACAGGCGCCACTGCGCGCGTGTGCTTATCGTTGGATTACCACTTTCGCAATTCGAAGTCAAATCAAGAGTACACTTAAACTAAGACTTAGGATTAGCCCAGTGTTGAGGCTAACGCATAGGCTTCGTTCGACTTATGTGTGAAGCGTATGAGCACACGAGCATTTGTGATGGCGCATTTGTGGAGCCTGTTATCAGCAAAAGTACCCAGAATTTGATACGTTTTCGTGATATGAGCGTTCTTATGACTGTAAGACAGACACAATGTAAGAAACGTTGGTAATGTTGTATTTCAGGTTGGTAAAATCACAGCGGCATTTCGTTCGTGCGAACATTCTTGCTTTCCTCTAACTAAGTAACATATTTAACTACGGATGTGAACGAAATGCCGTTTTGACTTTACCAACCTAAAATACTACTGTTCAGTAATTTCCTAACAGATTCAGAACGAAATTAATAAATAGCGAGACTTACACATTATCGCCTCGAATAATATATAAACCGAGTGGGATCTGCTCAACACCTGCCTCTTCACTGAACACGCGTTCATGGGAATCTTCGAGCACAAGATTGATGGTCTGATCGAAACCTTTCATAAGACCGACAATATTGCGACCATCACCTGTTATCACCGATATCACCTTGTTCATGAACGATTCCAGTGACTGAGTCATCCTACAAAACCGTTCGTTCATCTATTATTGGCAGTACTCTAATGTGATTTCATCACGAAACAAATCTTACACCGAATCTAATTTATTTACTTCAGAGTTTGATTAGCAATAAAGAGAAACGTTATAATATACTCACACGGATATTAAACGTGGAAATATTTCAAAGCAATATTTCAGATGATACACTCTAATAACTCTCGTTGAGATTGCACCAAGTGTATGTAAGATCGCTCGTTTGGTTAATTCAACGTGTAAGTGTTAAGGGAGAGAATTCTCCTCAGTCAGGAAGGGCTTCGTGGGAGAACTGGGAGTTTCATAAGAAAGCGAGCATTGCAGAGGCAGAAATAAGAGTTTCTGAGTGGCGAGAGATGCCTTCGGTAGACGATAGGTTTTCCAGGAAAAACAGTGGCTTTTTATGAGAAAAAGAGATTACCTGGAAGCGGTCTTCCTCGGAGGGGATAGGGTTTCTCTGGAAGTGAGACGGGTTCCTAAGACCCAACAATATATTGATACCTCACCCACTGTAATCCATCACGAACACATCTAAAATTTCTCTTAAAGAATATGAAAAAATTTAGGATTGAATGAGTTTCAACTTGTATTTATCCATGACCGAGTATCTAATCGTAAGCTAAAATACAAACCTGATCGTGATGTTGACAAAAGCAATGTGAGAAATTGACGGATCTATCCCAATTGATGTTTCTTATTGTAACAATGATATTTTCGGTTGATAATACTCATTTTCCACCCAAAAACGGAGTGTGCAAAGTTACTGTCTATTACTGTTTACAAGTTAAGAGGAAAATGTATGGAATGAAAAATTCAAATAATTTATTTGCCAAAATGGCAATTCATTGTGACGATGAAGGGTTTATGTGATATTCGCCACCGAGGAAATGACAGATTACAATAACAAATATAATTACCTTCATGAACAAAGAACGTAAAAGAGGGAAGTGTTTATGCGAAGGAATATGCGACATTCGTGACCGGAGAGTTCAGTTTCAAATCCCGGTAACCCTTTGCTATCCTCTACCATCGAATCCATCATCTATCTTCCGGCTGCGTTTCTCTGACTTCGATGGATCTGCCTCAAACTTTGCAAACAGCCATAAAATCTTCCAGTTGCAGTTCGCAACTTTCAATTCAGTAAGAACTCAACCGATATCGTGAGATGCTTTGTTTTTCTTCAAATTTGCGTTGTTTCCCGAAACTTGAAGACGTGGGTGGGTGATTCATTGTGAGTAACGTCTAGAACATCGGATAATTGGACCGAACGTTTTTTTTTTCTTTGAACGAGCGATTTCGAACACATTTGATACACCATCCACCTCGCTCGTATCTTTCGCTCGGTCACTTCGTACACAATCGATAAAACCAGTTCTTCAACTGCACTAGTCCTCATCGTTTGTGCTATTCTTAACCCACTTTCTAAGAGTCAATCGCAATCTACCTCTTTTTTCCGTGTCATTAAGAACAGGAAGCAAATCTTCCTCTATGTATGATCAATAAACTCTGCTAAACGCCTCTCTCCGAAAATTCGACCCTCCAAAATTGATTTTTGTGGACCTTTTACTGCATTTTACGATCCTATTAATACTAATGTACTGAACTGCTTGCATCCATTCATTGACTCCGATTAGCTGCTGTTCAAATGTACGAAAATACAACGAAAGCATTATTGTTTACTCACTCACTCTTTGGTTGTATAATCGTTTGTACAAAGCCAAAACAATACCGAGCATCATAAAAACTCCAACTTTCCAAACACACCATCGCACCGTGAGTATCTCGACAGCACCATTAACCATCAACCGCAATAAGTGCTCCACTACAATAACTCGCCGAAAAAATAGACCGAATAACCAACCAACCAAAGAAGAATGAAATGCAACGAACGACAACAGAAATACGTTCAGTTAAACAAAGTGTCCCTTTATCCAACAAAATACAACGATGTTCATTACGATAACACAACAGAGAATTTGTAGTTCGTACATTCAGTATCAATTACCGAATCAAATTGAATTGTGTATAAAAATTATTCATCATCACCTATCAGTAACACACCCGTTCTTCATGTTTCAATGAAGATGTCGTATCAATGCACAAACACAAAACTAACTCAATTCTCAAACGAAATCATCAATATTCAGATGATGATGAATAAAAAATAACTACAATCAATCAGTCGAACCACTTCAGCAGACGATACTCAAGCATCAAGCGTAATCGCCTTCACCCATCCATCCATTCTTCAGCAGTCACGCAAACGAACATCATTCATTCATCAAATTGTCACCTTATCAATCGTTACGTACATTGCATAAAACAAACGATATGACTTATCAAGAACGACGACTGCGATAACAATACTACAATGATCATAGCCATAAGAATAACAACGATGACAATCGATGCTAATCATCAATTTAACAAATCGGATAAAATGGTTCACTTTCAATTTTTGCAAGAGAGAATAAAAGCACAAGCTATCATTATATAATAATAGGCGGATAACACACACCCAAACGGTGAACAGAGCCGATTCGAGAAGTGATTTTACTTATTCGGTTTTGATTGATATTCAATGTTTGGGAACATGTTTTTAGAGTTATAGCAAAATAACTCATAATCGGTTAAGAGATGATAGTGAATATTGTAGGTTTTATAGACGTATTATTATAAAGTGATAACTTAGGAAATTCAATAACAAACAATAAAATATTAGTTGAATGAAACAATGAAAATATATGATGAAACATAAATATAACATTCACAAAACAACTTTTTGCATTAGGCGGCTATAGAGAAGAGTGATGATGTTGAAATTGATTACGATGGTGACTGATAAGAATTGAAATTGAAGCATCAAAGGTTTATAGGTGAAGATTATAGAGGAATTAGGAAAAGGACGGACTGAATGATGCATGATGCAAAGAAACATGCATGCATAAGTTCACTTTCTTGCGAGCATACTTCAAAAAAAAGAGCAATTTTCATAAGAAAGATTCATTGGTTCAACAACGTACACAACGTGACAATAATCATGAAGTTTAGAGTACCATAACCATAAAAATCTGAAATGATAACAATCCGAAAAGCTTTTAGGCATCGACGCTTCGCTCGCTCGAACTATGAAGTAAGCTCTCAGAAAACAACAAAAATCAACAACAGCAACACGATAAATATCGAATGCTCGTTTGAGAATTTAGAGAAGAGAATGAACGATGATTGCAAATGAATGTTATTGTTCGAATGAAACGAAATCGAATAACTCTTCAGATGTAAAAATCTCATTTTGTCGGTTATAAAAACCACCACTTCGATGTAAATGAGTGGACACTAAAGCGCAAACAACAACAACATCGACAAACAAATGATAATACAAGCATATACACACTACGAATAGTGTCTCACCACTGCAAATACGTTTAAATAAATCAACTCGCTTAAATAACCACACAGTGCCCGTAGTCGAAAGACACCAGTCAATAACAAGTAGATTAATTAACGCAACAAAAATTACCAACGATATTACACATTTGAATAGTTCGTAGACATTTCGAGTCACCCCAAAGGTGATGCATGTTGCGGGATGATGTAATATTCTTTTACCGTTCTAGGAACGCTTGATTAGCGAGAAATTATTAATCAAGTGAGAAAGATTTACTTGACTATTTCAACTGAACAGTAAACTACTCCAATTCTGCGGGCATCTATCTGAGTTCAACATCTGAAAATACTTAAAATCGGACTGATCAACCCTAGAAATTGCGCTAAAACTAGGCATTTAAGATGATGCGTAAAGAGTAGTGTGGTTGCTTTCCGTAATCGATACGAATCAATCAAAATGGTGAGGTACTGAGAATGAACGGTTGAAATATTTCAATTTCACGGCCACCCCTTCCAAACCTTCCATTTATTGATTCGCTCTAATCAATCTCAGAAATTGTATCCCATCAAACAAACACAACTTTAACATTTTTTTTCAAACAATGATGATGACAAACCACGGAATATGAATGACATCAGTCAAACGAAAACAACTCAACATGAAAGCCAAAAGCCAAATGCCAAGCACCTCAACAAGCAGATAGATCATCATTCACTCTTCCATATCAACCATTTATCAACAACTCGAACACCGCAACAATATCACACTCCAACATCCTTTATAAAAGAACTTATCGTCACATAGTTCAGCAATATTCACTAAGGGACCTCAAGTGAATTCACAAACTTTGAACCAAAAGAAGTTTCAAAGGATGGAATAAATCAATTTTGTCGAGAACGAAATGAACATCACCGAAAGCTGCGTAACGAGTTCCCAGAGTATAATCATTACCAAGTGTACCTAGATGGATCTCGAGTTTTTGATACTACTGCAGGTAAACTTACTATAAGATTAAAGAGACTCTTCAACAATTAATGCCGATATGCGTTTTGAAATTAGATAAATAAAGCATGAGGCTGGCATGTGTGTACAAAAAGCTTACGGGTATAACCTAATTGAGTGAAAACATCGAATTCCATCAAAAACTCTCGTATCATATCAACTGACAAAAATGTTGTTTTCTTTTTCTTCCAAGAGATTGTTTTTAAGCGTCGTGCGACAAACGAAAACAATAAAGAAGACGACAGAAGAGAGGCTAGAGGTAATTTCAAAGCACACATCAATACACACATCCACCACACAAGTTGGATGCAAAGCAAATAGGCATTTTAAGGGTGGTTCAGGATTGAAGATGTAATATCATTCATCTGTGACAGCACAGATCAATGAAACATCATGCAAAATCATTTCGGCTTTATCATTAAGTCATTCTCATCTTTACGTCAACTCAACATTACGAAGTTATTCGTTAAAAACAAATTTCGAATACGGAGCGGTAAAGTAACTTCATATGAAAATACCCGTTTCAGGTATAACTGATATTTGGTGATTCAAAATTGATCTTTGAAAAATGCCCCGATTCGGAAAATTTAGTAGGACGCATTCACCCCTTTACCACACTACTCGATGAACATCGTAAACGTTCAACGAAATTCAACGTAAAAACCATCATTAGTTCGGAGCTTGATTTAAGGAGAGGTTATGCTAGTTCACAACGAAATAAACCAAATAATGACATGGAAAATTCAGTGTCATTCCACTTCAATCCGGACTGATGAGCAATGGTATTAACTCATTCAAAAGAAACAAAAGCCGGAATTAGGTAAGGTGGAAAGGGGAAATTCATTACTCATTGTTATCAACAACAAGACGCGAAACCGTTCGAGAAAATTTCGCGCACTGAAAAGGAAGACCGACAAAATGATAACAAACACAAAGGCTTTCAGGGAAATAAAGAACCAACAACAAAACAAACAGAAACCACTATCTTTCTGGGACATGCCAACTAAATAAATAATCAATCAATAATTACTGTTTTAGATTCTGAATCGAAAAAAANAAAAAAAGAAAAAAAAAACACTACACTAATGAAGCTAATATCTATGCTTTGAAGAAGTAATGGAAGATGCGACTGAAATGAAATTAAGCGTGATGTGTGTGGATGGATGCATTTAGAATAATAATAGGCAAAGTGTAACGGGAAATGTAATCAAATCAAAGAAACGATATATTATACGACGAATGCTAATAGAACTGTTGAAGAAATACAACAACAATACTGCCGCGTGATAAACGAAAATAAGCAGCAAAACAAATAAACGATAACAATCATATTTGATGACACTGTAAAACACAAACTGATTACTGTTTTTAGATAAACACATCACCATACAAAAACTGTTCTCATCTACAATAAAAGAATGCGTTTCAAATGAAAGATGGTACCGTTATGAGGATATTTTAGAGATAGTAATTCACACTATACAATACCATAACAGCAATTTTTTACTATAAATGAGTTTACAATAATTGCGCTGCGAGGAGTACAATCAAGAATTTGCAATTAAGAACAGATTAAACAAAAAACGAGTAGATGACGATAACAGTTGAATGATCGGCTAACGTCTACAGCAAACAAATACATATAAAGATTAAGCCGCCGCTTTGAAGTTGTTTTCTTTTTTTTNTTTTTTTTGTTGTTGTTGTTGTGGGTTAGTGAGAGAAAGACACTCAATACTGCTGGGATTGCTGTTGAGCATAACGCTGTTGACTAGCACCACCTGTACGTTGATTACTCTGTCCATAACTGTCATAGCCAGAACCTAAAACACCCAATCAATCAGATGCTGTTCCCAGTAAATACACTCTACAACGAGTTATTAATCAACACACCCGACAACAATCTACTGGATATCTTCAAACATTCTTAATTCACAGAATGCTCACAGAAACATTTTTCATTTCACGTGCACCGATCTGATCACACAACTGAACGCATAAATGCGCATACAATTTAACCTTAAAAAGAATCAGCTCAAATGTCGACTCGTTTGCAAACTAACGAATTTTTGAACAGTGAGATTAATATTGAGCAACAACCAACCATAAGCGCTGTACGCGGCTGCATTCGCTCCTTGTTGATAATAGTTCGCAGCAGGAGTTCCATACCAATCAGCCCATGCGTTCATGCCAGCACCAGCTCCATAAGCGCTCAGTGCACTCATCTGACCCCAACCTGGTTGTCCATACCATCCATTCGGCATACCAGTGCCTCGTCCCATTCCATACCCTCCACGCATCATTACGCCTGCACCACGACCAGCATTGAAACGTTTGCCTTGTGGCACTGCTTTTTTCACATCACACTGTAAAGTGCAACCGAATACATTACAATTGAATACTCGAGCATTGCAAGTGTATGCTTTCAGTACTTAATCCAAATCCTCAACATAAACATTTCTTTAAATACACTGTAATTGTGAAATTGAAACTTTCGACCAAGAACATTTCGGAAATTAAAAAGAATACAATAAGTTAGGATAATACAAAGCCACAGTTCGAGAGGAACACCCATATCTATCCACTCCGATGGGTAGATATTTGACAACTTTATCCCCTATTTCGCTGAAAGCAACAATCACTATCCAACTCCGCTATCAATACGAGAACGAATGCAGAAGTCGAATTACCTCTCGCGCTCCGAAAGTTTGTTTCGGTGTCGCAGATGCACGATCAGCAGCTTCCTCTTCTTCGAAGACGATGAACGCAAAGTTGCGTCGAGCCTTCGTTTGCTTATCGAATGGCCACTCAATATCTTCCACTTTGCCATATTGTGCGAAATGTGCACGTAAATCCTCTTCTACAATCATACTCATAATTAACAACACAGTTAGCAAACATTCAATCAGCTAATTCGAACGTCACAATAAGTCATTGAAACCCATCGGTTTCAATCGAGGTAACTGTGAACAAATCCAATTATCATATGCAAAAGAAATGAATTAAATGTTGAAAAAATACAAATAAATTCAGAGTAATTCAAAAGAGAAAGCTAAATCACAACAAAACGCTGCAACTGACCTGGGAAATCAGCCGGCAGTCCGCCGACGAATACTTTTTTGTTTTCTCGCGATTTCGCTGGCTTAACCTCGATTTGTTTATTTTTGAGGGTTTGTTCACGATTTCCTAAAGCCGCACGACACGCATCACCAGTTGCAAACTCAACAAACGCAAAGCCACGTGAACGACCTGTGTTACGATCGAATTTCACTTGCGCTTGCGCCACCTCACCGTACTGTGAGAAGTATGAGGTTAGATCTTCGTTCGTCACATCGTATGCTATTCCACCAACAAATATCTTTCTGCAATTGCAAATCACCTCAAATCCTTTCTGCTATCACTCGGCAAACATTGATGCTGAGAATACTTAAACACAAAAACTACTGCGGCCGTTCAGATAAATGTAACGACATAATTCAACACAACTGTGTGATTGAACTTGCTATGTGTATCACTTCATTACTTTTCTCGACAAATGTTACGAAATCGATGCACATACAACGTCTTAAAGAAATAACTCAATTTTATTGATCGTCTTCGTACATAACTTTAGGAGGTGAACTCTTGTTGCCCTGATAATGAAAAATCATTTCTCATGAGCGCATTTGTTGGAAGAACAGGTTCCATTAAAACTGAACGGTTACCATCTATTTCATCGAAATTGATTAATTATCAAAAAACCGACTGAAACACGCAATAATTTACTTGTCTTCATTGCCTTTGCTGCTCTCTTTGGCATTGTCTGCAGCAGATGTTCCGTTCACTGTACCGTTCTCTGTTTGTTCTTGATGAGCCTGATTCTCTTGAGTATCCATTATATCTGTAACTTCATCGAAATTTTACGGCTATTTTCGAAAAAAAAANAAAAAAAAATCAATCAGTCAACCCTTCATTTGATATTAGGAAATCTTTTTTCACGATAATCTTTGATGTTCACTGTGTTTCAATGTTCCCTAACGTCTCAAGCGTATAAAACAAACAACTTTTGTCTCCTCTTAATGTGTACCAACATTACAGCTAATCAATTATTTCGCCTAAAACCAACAACAACAAAATTCAGCACGCATTATTCCCATCCTCCTTCAGCTACTTCGAGCAGTTCCCGCTGTTGAAAACGCAAAACAGAACATGGTGATAACTCACGGGTACACATTAAGCCACCACCTATTGCAGTTATTCACTGCTTGTTCAATCTATCAACCAACAAAAAATTCAGCTCGGCTCAAAACTTGAAATCACATGAACAAACAAACAAAAAAACATGAACATATGCAAAAACCATCAATTACCTTATATAAACTGTGTTCAGTTACGAAGAAGTTGAATAGTAGAGAATAAGGAAAAATTACAAAGAGAGAGGAAAGGTGTTTACAAAACCGGTGATTTTAGAAAGTTTAGTCGTTAAGACTATCTAGAAAATACCCTGCAAATAAATTATAATCGATTTCATCCAACAATCAAAATTCGTACGAAACGTTTCGAATAACTCAGTGTAAAACATCTCTCTGTTCAACAACAGATATTGAATCATGTGAACAGTGCCGTGCCATAAGATGAACAATGCAAAAAAACAACAACATTAAACCGCAGCAATGTACGGACGCCTTAAAGAAATCTGCTGATAGCAAGAATTCATTCAATGAATTTTTTACGAGCAATTTATGTTCAGAGTACAATCAAGCATCATAATAACTGATAATTCGACAGAGCGCTCAACGTAAACACAACGTCTTTCGATCAGACAAGCACATCAAGAGCATGCAACAAACAAACTTCACCTTGTGAACATCAATTTCGTACTGCATCCAACGAATTTATAACAGTGAACAATAGCGAAAATAACTCACGATCAGTTCGCAAAATTTCTTCTAAAAATGCAACAAGAAACTTGCATAAATATTGTTGCAAAAATACAAACAAAACTCGAGGGAAGCGCGGTTATCGAATGTAAAACAATTTTTGATAGGCAAACAAAAATCTATTTTATCATCTCTCATGAGATGATTTCTAGAAGAATGTTATCAAGAGCACCAATGTCATATATAGATTCAATCTGCTGCAGTGTTGTGTCTCCAGCACACAAAGAACCGGTTTCGTTTTCACCGTTCATAAAAAACTCATACGTTGCATGAGCCAACATGATGTGACGACTATCAAGAAATCGATTAAAGTGCAACAAACATAATGCCAACGATAAGACTGGAAGGAATATGCGATGAAACTGAGAAAATAATGCCAACGGCGCTAGCTGATTTTACGGATGAGCAAGCGGAACTGGATAGCGCGAAACACATCGCCAAAATCGGAAACACAAGGTTTTTGTATTCACAAAGAGACGTTACGAAATAAGACGGATGGCCGAATGTCTTGAAATCTGACAGCAACATAGCAAATGAGTCCTCAAAAAGACCATGTCTATAACGAATAACCGTGAAACACACGATGAGATGGAATCCTTTCTGATTAGATAACGCTAGAATAGTGAATTACATGATAAGAGCTCAGTGATCCGTAGATAACAGCGAAGAAAGTTGTCATACAACGTATACATAGTTTGGAATGACGCGTTAGTGAAAGCTTGGAACAAAACGCATTCGAGAAGTTGCCCAAATATGACTGGCAACGAAAATAACCGCGACGCGCTAACTGCGATAAAGGCCAACAAAATAACAAGCTAAAAAAGCCCTCCTCATCCGACCCCACCCCTCCTTTATTCATATCGAAAAAAATTCCAACGTTCGTACGCACATTACAACGCATCAGCACTTAAACAATTGCTGCTTTTAAATACAGTAAATCTGAAAACATCGCACATCGTTTCTTTTCAAAAGACGACTAAGTGCATTCGTCCCTATTCGTTCACTTAACAGCACAAAACCGAACGAAATCGCCTTTCTAGATAAATAAATGAGTTAATTAATTAATTAATGAATAAAGATCCTTAGAGCGTAATGAAACCAGAAAATATAAAGCAGAAGTAATAGTTGAAGGCGCCACTGCGTTAACATCATCAATATGCGTACAAAGATGCTAACCATTAAAATTGACAATTAACAAGCATATTCAAAAGTAAAACAGTTTCAGTCCATCAAACCGAAGCTCGAAGTAAATCCTGTTTCGTCAAAAATTCCTTAAAGGTTATTGTGTAAAGTTTATGCTCTCCTGTGGTCTGCTCTCCATTTACGACTGAACAAACTTACTCTCCTAACAATACGAAGAATTGGTCATGAACTCTTTAGGTTACATGCTTTTTTCAGAGATCATGTACGCTCGGCTTTTGCGAAACAACTTCAACATACCTTGATGTCAACTGATATGAAAAACTCTTGCACATGAAAGATGTGCAAACGTTGTTGACGAATAATACAGAGTTCCATATTTATAGCAAATTTGTGATCGTACCCATACACCTTAACGATCACTCAACCAAATATATACCGCCTATAAGTCTCCTGCAACGGTACTTCCGGTGACTTCAATATATTCCTTCGCATTTCGATAAAAATCAATCGGTGAATAATAAACAATGATGGTGGAAGCTAATTTAAGCTTTTCAGTAATGAGCAGATCACATAGTCTTCTTTATTCATAAATTCCCAGTGTCTTTTCTCTTCTTCATTGCCAGCTTCTCTCCGCCTCCCACTTTTTGAAAAAAAACGATGAAAAGTTTGATTTAGAGGATGAAAGAATNTGAAATTTGATTCAGGCGCACTGGAGGCAAGCTTAATCCGCGATGATTCCTAGCATCCCTCTGCAAACGTATGTACTCATTTCTGTCAGCTCTCGTTCCACTGTACCGTAATCTGCTGTGACACATGCATCGCTCGTCCCCCCCCCCCACCACCCCTTCCCTCTATTGTTTCTTCTTTGGATGGCATCACCTCTTAAAAAGTTTCTCATAACTTGCAAAATGAAAATGAAACATGGCAGAGATTCTAATTCTGTAGGAAATTAAAATCTCTATCTGAATCCTATGTCATTGAATGTTGATCACCACTACCCAAAGCATGTATTGACCACAATGATATCAATGATGATAAGATTTGGTTGAAGATCATTCGAGTCCTAATATCATACCGTTAAAATTCACAATATTTGTGCTGAGTTCAGTGCTTACATGATGTGTCATTCAATCAGTGCAATTACCGGTTTTGTTCAATTCAAATCCGATCGATGTTTTCTCAAGTTCTCATCATCGTTATTTCCCATCTCCACTGACTCTAGTTTGCAAACTTTTATTTACCTGCTTCTCGACGCAATCACAAAATTGTGTGGATATCACCTCACACCACAAACTCTCATTTCAGTTCCTTTAGGTACACTCACTGCTATTGTATTTATTTTTGCATCAATTTTGTTCTGCTTTACGTCTATGTTGATTTATTTTGTCGTTTATCTACTATCAAATAATTTATTGTTATTGAGTAATAATGAGTAGACTAAAAAAAGTGTTTCGAATATCGCTCGCTGGTTATGGTGATTGCAGTTGGTCTCGAAGACGATTAGATGCTAGTTGACATATGTAAGGGAAATTCGCAACACACAGAAGCTTTGTCTAACTCTTCTAAAGGTTGGAAATCAATTTTGCCTTATCAACACATCTAGGTATCGGAAGAAGGATATCGCTGAGATCAAGAGCGTTTGATTCAAAGAGCAGACTAGAAAAAGCTTGCCTACAGCATTATCATAACGTTGTTCAGTGGTATCAAATTCAAAAGTTGTTCACCAGTGTTTGATCCCATCCCCTCTCTATTTTGTATCTGTAAGGAAAAGGTAGGAAAAGGATGAATTGCGTATTGCCTACGGAATTAATGCACTCAGTGGTGGATCGTAGATGATATCGTTAAAATTTGAGAGCATTCATGTTCTCACCTATCTTCAACTTTTCAGGTCTAGACCATATGAAACGTTGTATGATAAAAGTTCGAAGTGAATGCTTTCAGAATGGGTTCTGCATGGTCTCGTTCAAAGAGCACTTATGATCCAACGCCAGTTTTCAAAACAAAATATGGTAAAATAAGAGGCAAACGTTACCATGTCGGCGCTAATCATTATGTGAACGTATTCATCAGTATTCCATACGCAAAACCTCCCACGGGGGTTCTTCGCTTTAAGGTGACTGATCCGCAATCGGTCTTTTTGACTCATCCCTATTTCACTCAATTCGCACGATTCTAACGTTAATTTAACATCTACTTTGGCATTCAAAATCTTTTGCGATACTCCTTTTTACTTTCCTCTGTAGCCTAAAAAAATCCAAACTGAAGTCTCGCACGTCGTTTCTAGCATTCAAATTTTATTTTCAGAAACCGTGTCCTCCTGAATCATGGCCAAACGTTCGTGAATGCATTCAAAACGTTAGACGAGTACCTGAACGGGAAGCGTTTCTAGGGCGATGGTCAACAGGCAATCCGAGCAACGAGGATTGTCTTTATTTGAACGTTTACGCACCGGAATGGGATCCATTTGGAGAGCAAGTGAGATGTATAGATCGTTAATTTGTTCGTATCTTACCTCATGCTATCCCAAAAAAATCATGATTGCAGTGAAGGTGTTGTAGCCGAAACTAATTCTCGTCTTATTTGAATAAATCAGAAGTTGAAAGGCAATCTGTGAAATAAACAAATTTATTCAAGCGCAGAAGTTGTTGATAATTGATCGAGATAATTAAGATATTCATCAAACACTTAACATTGTTTTTTCATTCGTAGATTCAGTTGAACGTCGTTTTGGTTCAATGATGTTGCATTATAGAAGAGTGGAAGAGCTGTCATGATATGGATAAATGACGAGGAGCAGGCGTTGTACCCGTTACACCCGTCAGTAGGCTGCAGCGGTCGAGGAATTTGCAAGTTTGTTGTTTCTTTTTTCCTTCACCGCGAAAATACTTCGTCAGAAACCCAGTTCGGCAGTATCGAGTGAAAATGGAATGAGAATTCAAAGTTTGAACGGAAATATTGACAGAATCAGTCGTCATTTATCAATTCAAATAATTTCAGAAAGTCAAAAATTAGTATTGAAATTTTAGATATCTTTGCTCGAGAGACGTGATTGTAGTGAGTGTGCATTATCGACATGGTATTCTCGGTTTTGTTGCAACTGCTGATCAATACAGCACACCGAACCTCGGCATTTGGGACCAAGTGATGGCCATCAACTGGGTCAAAGAGAACATCGCAGAATTTGGTGGTGATCCTTACAATATTACCCTGTTTGGTCATGGGGCCGGTGCTGTCTTCGTGGATATACTATCCATATCACCATACACAAGAGGTGACTAACTTTTTTTGCATTTACCATTCAGAAACCGATTTTTTAAACCGTCCGTTTTTAGTTGCGTATCCAGCTGCTCTGATATGCTCAGAATATCAATTACTCACTCAATTGTATATTACTTAATCACCAGTTGTTGCATAGTGTTATAAATTGAAATTTAAAAAAACACGAGTTTTTCTGGGGAAGTAAAATGTCCGTTAAACGAAATAATTGTTGGCGACTAATCTGCTTCAGACTCATTCGATAAAATGATTCTGATGTCTGGTACAGCAGATTGCAAGTGGGCTCTTCATGACATTCGACGTGTGAAGCAAGCAACTATAGCACATGCTTGCTCACTTGGATGGCACTATCCTGAGAATGGTATAAGCATGTTCCACAGACTCTATTTGAACTTAACTTCAGTATCGAACTGAATCAGTTGGAAAAATAATCATTTAACAGTGGCGCGTGATCAAACCAATTTTTTCAGCAAGTGAGGAAGACATAAGTGCCAGTTTAATGAGATTCCTGCGCCATCAGTGTGCCACCTCATTAACGCCTATAACTACCGGTTACGACATATGCAAGTCGATTATCACTTCCCCAACACCATTTGGAGCAGTTTTTGACGGCGATCTCATTCCTGAATCGATCACTGAGTTACGCAAGAAAACACCAAAAAAGACATGCTTATGTGGTGTAACAGAATACGAGGCACTGATTTTTGGTACGGGTTGTGCATCAGTCCGATCATTATGCGAAGACATCATTTCTATTGTTAATTTGATCAATTGCTTTCAGATGGAAGACTGTATTCACTTATTCTCAAATGGCAAACGCACATGTTTTCGGAGATGCGTTTGACCACTTTTGAATCAGTTCAGATGAAGAACAATAACTGCAATGTGTAATGTTCTTCGTGCTAAACTGAATATGAAAGAATTCGCCTTAGTTTTTGAAAGACTCTTCCTTCCTTTCCACTTCCCATACTCGAATCTGAACATCATAATCAATGGATATCTGCTCATTTAAAACTTCATTTTGTACACTTTTCTTTCTCATCCAGCTGGATTTGGTCGCAAATCATTGGATATGACGAGTTTCGATCATCTTTTGAACGTCATCATTCCTCAAAGCAATGACCATCCATCTTCACATTTGTTCAGTGTCGCAAAATCACTTTATATCAATGATGCGTACAGCAGTAATGAGATGAAACGAGCTTATGTGAAGGTGATAATAATATTTCATTCGATTCGATTATATCAGTGGTGAGAAATTTCCGGAACGGTTTTCCGTTTGTTCCTGATATTATAAGTAGAAATGGAAGGTTCTTGTATTAGGGCGAGGGATTAACGGCGGCCTGCCAGATCATCGAAAGGGGTAATGAAGCACCCGAAAATGAGAAGCACAGGATTATATGAACACCTAACTGTTTTCACTGAGTTTTCAGCTAGCAAGTGACGTCTTTGTGACAAATGACGTTCACGATTATGCTGAAGACATGCTCGACGCTAATCATAGAATGTTTTTATACAATTTCGATTATTTTAACTCACGATCGTTCGGTCTGTTGCGATGGTCACTTCCGTTCTTTGGTAAGACTCTTCTTACGTGAATACCACCTGATCCANATTTTTCAACAAAATGCGATTGATCTCATCGGTGAATCAAAACGAATTTCATGAAGCGCTCACCTCTTCCAGCATCAACTCATGGTAGCGATTTAGCGTTTCTCTTCGGGAAATCACCATCTCAGAACATCAAACGTACCGCGGCTGATCGAATGGTTATCGAAAATTTGACAACGCTATTCACGAATCTTGCTAAATTCGGGTACACGTTTTGAGCTTTCAATTTCAGTTAGTTATTAGGTCGATAGTTCATTATGACGATTGGTTTATTTTAGTGATGTGAACGGCAGTTTTATCGAAGGTTTAGAAGCGTTGAATGAATACGACAAATGGTCGTACGTTTCGATTGGTCGAGGTATTACAATGAAATGCAATTTCCATGACAGAAGAGCAAATTTTTGGCGTCGATTACGAGAGAATCGTTTGCATTTGCCGAACGTTGAAGCAAATTCGATTCAAACTCAGACCGACCCGAAACTGCTGACTGCAAAACGATATGCATCAACAATACAACGACGAGTTCACTGTCAACAGACACAAACTGATGCGAATTTACAAATTGATCTGAGTTTATCTGAGCTTCATGAAGTTGCAATGAGAAGTCGTGAATCTCTGAACGACTCTGAGAATCTTCAACTAGAAGAAAATGAAGAAGAGGTGGACAAATTGGAAATAATGAAAAGTCAAACTGACGAGCTAAATGAAGAGGACATTGAACGATGTGAGGAGATCGCGATTACGATTACGTTGACGAAAGGTGAACGAGGAAATTCATTGGATTTACATGAAGCAGAGATAATCTTCTTTGCGTGGATGAATGAAGCGAATATTAGACCGTATGACACCGAGAGTCATAAGGGCGGCGATGGAGAAGACAGTTCGTTAGGCAGACTGGAAGTGCACGAGGAGACCGCCACCGATGATCAATCGCTCAGTGTTTTGTTCTACGATGAAATGCTTTACGAGGATTATGTGAAAATTTGCGAATATTTCGCAGATGGACTCAACAACAATTCATCATTCACACCGACTGCACATCGTTGTCCTACTTCTGAAACGTCCAGTATGCCAGTAACAAGTCAGACTGTTCGAATGAATACTAACCAAATTACCAGTGATAAGTCACATACGGATAGATTAAATTTAGAAACGCCGCCATCAGATCGAACCACACTGAGAAGCAGCCTTCCGGAGAATTTCTATGAGGGAAGCGCAAGAGATACTGATCGAACAGTCTGGTAAGGCCTAATCTGATAAATGAGAATGAATGAATTCAAGGTTGGTCGGATTCAGAAGAATATCAAAAATTGGATTTTGCTGTTCAAAGTGGTTATTGAGTGTGCGATTGTGCTGCCTAGTTATGATTAGTGCTACGTTATGACGGATTATTGATAAAGGAGAAAGATTGATCATATTATATTATTGCGTGCATTTTGTTCAATTAATTGTAGCATCACTGCTGATTGATCGCTATGCATTTATACACAGAGCATATCATTTAATATTACGTTATCAGCGTTCAATAAAAATTGTCTCGTAATCAAAAATAAATTTCGCACTTTTCTTTATGGGCACAAGTACATTCGCTCAATCGTTCAACATTTCTATCCAAAAACAAAATCTGCAGCTAAACTAATGTCACCATCACATTTATTTACATACATTGTTACAAATGCAGTTCATCGATAATTTCATTGTGAGATTTAATGTGAAACACAAACGCATTTAATTGCATTTACTAATTGAAGCATTTACATTCGCTACAAGTTGAAAGGCTTTCAATCACCTGCTTTCAATCATAATCGGTCTCAAACGGCTCTGAAGAACCGCAGCTTTCGTTAGGCTGAAAAAAAAAGATCTAAATTATCTACAACAGTGATTTTCCATGAAAGCACGCGGGCATAAGTAATGGTCAGAATCAATTTGATTACATTCAACTAAAAAACAAAACTGTTCTGATGAACCACTGCCCTAAGTTTGTTGGTATAAATTTCTAAATGTTGCACATATTAATAACTGTTCCCTCGAACAGCGATCATCAGTAAATGAGGCTATCCATTTTGATGCTGAAAGACGTAAAAGAATACATACGAACCGATATTAACAATTTTATTGCTTGAGCTTTTTCAATTAGCGATACGATTTCGGATGGTTGAGGATGTTCATCCAGTTGGACGACGCCAAGTATGGTTTGTGCTTCCATCAAACGGCGAATCAACAACAAAAGTTCAGCGCAAATCTGAAACATTTCCGAATAGTTTTCTTTTGTTGAAGAGGTCTTACACAGCTCAGTAATTTATGTTTATATCGAATTTGCTCACATTTCGGTTTCCTACAATTTGTCCCTCTATTTTGTTGATTCATGAAGATATAGACACAGGTTTAGGTCTAAGCAAACTTAACATTCTGCGGTCAAATCATCACAATCCAAAATTTTATCACCTTTTCGTGTCAACTACCATTGGTAGTTGCCTAGCGAGAGAGGATGGGGTAGAGGAGTGCAGCGGAGGCGTGCCCGAACATAGCAAATTAACGGCCATCGATGATTTGTGACCGTTGTCATTTACCAAATGATTACAGCAAGTAAAAAGATGCTTCAAAGTGTATCTGCGAACAGAGTCGGAAAAATCACTGAGACGAACCATTGAGGAATTATCACTTTGCTGAGTTGATGTTTCTTGCGAAGACACTCGTTGCAGTGCATTACTCGGTCGCATTAAACCTCTCAATTGTGTCACTCGATCATCCAGTAAGCAACACTCAAATGTATAAAACGGCGGTGCTCTCATAAACTTTCAAAACTGTACTGCTCAATGATAATCATAGCAAACATCGCACAATAAGACGTTTCAAGGGTGCAGTCTTCAACCGTGCACGCAGCGTATCAAATTACCGGCATCGTCAAAATGCAATTCGGTGTAAGTATTGGTCAATTACGCGAATTATTCAAAAGGTTTACGCGTTTCATCTTATGCCAGATGTTCTCTTGTGAACCCGGTAGAACATCAGGCTAAAATAATGCAACGTACGTCATGCAAGAGCACAGCAACCAAACGAAAATTTGACTGCATATCGTTGATCAACTTAGCAACTTCAATGTATTCCTCAGCAACTTCATTGATTTCGGATTTCTGCTCGTAGGTACTCTTCAATAACGACATAGAATCTATAAAATGACCGTGTTTCAAGAAGCACCCTTTGAGCGATTCATCAAAATCATTGTTTATTTTACATTGAACGTCCGAATCAGAAACTAATCATGCAAACAGAGTGTAATTCATATGAGCTGTATTTGTAAACGATGACTTAATCGCAGAGTATTTCTGCTTCTATCAAGCAATTGTCATCGCGATACTTCAAACCGAATAAAGTTACGTAGTATTTGCAACAATTGCCACCGCGACACTTCAACTTTATTTATTTGCAACAAATAAATAAAGTCACACCGAATTTTGCAACTCAAATGTCGTGCACAATTTCCGTGACCGCATTGTAAACTGCACGAAACGAACCTTGTTTGGTGTTATTTAATGTTTGCTTCCAAGCTGCCTCCAATTCACATAAATTCGCATCAAAATCTGATGTAGCTTTCGAAATGAGATCGTTCAACTGAATGAATCATTCGACATTAAATCAGAAACTTCTGTGGATATATACGCAATTTGTAAGTGAATACCGATGTAATTCCTTCGTTGATGATGATACCAGAAGTTTTCAGGGCATTTTCGAACGCATTCACTCGACTAATTGAGTGTTGACAGTCCTTACGAACTTCTTTCGCAAAATGCTTCACTTTATCAACTGTTCTTGACAAAGCACATTCAAGCTTTCCCTCTGCTCGTAGGCCACCATCAAATTCGTAATTCTAAAATTGCTGGTCGTCACTGAGTCCTTGATAACAATCTCATCAATGAATTGTCAGTTTTTCACAAACCGTAAAGGTCAATGTTTCAATTCAATGCAGATGAGCTATAAGTTAGTTAAATTAGTGTAAGATTAGTTCAAATGGATGATGACTTGAGCATATTGAAGCAATGCAAAATCTTGTGTTGATAATTGAAATCATTAACAATACAATTACATTGGGACATTGTTAAGTAAATATTCGAACATCCGATTCGCTGAAATTCTCTTACCAGAGATTTTGTCGTTCTATTTTTTAGAGGAAGACCACGGTCAGATGAAATGCTGAAAAAACGTGAACTTTAGAAGAGTCAAGCTTCGAGAATTGATGAAATGACAAATGTGAGGTATTGCCCCACCTACTTACGTCTCAGCAGTGAACTAAAACCAACTTCGATTCATGCCGGAGAAGAAAATGTTCGACTGATGCATGAAATTAAACCAGTATCTCTTATCCGCCAAATTAAGTCCCATTGCTCGACTTCTATGCGCAGCATTTATTATAAACAGTTTTTTGGTATTCAAAATGCTGAGAAAAAACATTGAAAGTTGAAATTTGATTAGTGACAACCGCTTTTTAGAAGATAATTCCGACTTAGGACCATTTAGAAAGAAAAGCTGCAATTATGCAGATTATTACGAGAACAAGACTGACTTTACGGAGATAACACATATCAACGAAACATTCTGAACATTGCAACTCTCGAGCAAACCTTCGGTGCCTTGCTGCAAAACCGCTTGCTAGGGCCATCAAGTCCGCAAATGGAACGACATGACCATTCGAAGATATATGTAATCGCTGTTATAAAAGTGTTCACTTATCCATTACTAATTGCTTAATCTATAATATTCAAATGTTAAAGTCAACCATATCATTAATCATTTGATGAAATGCGTTGGCTCCGCCTTTCTGACTAATCGTTCTTATTTGCAGTACCTTAAAGGAATTATCTACTCGTTTGAAAAATTACTCGTTTAAACAAATTCGACCGACAATATATGTGTTTTCTGAATATAGCGATTCTGACGAATCGAATGGTGTGGAAAGATTTATATGTTATCGGGCAAATCTGAGTGTACAGGTAGCTTGAAGATGGTAACCCCTATAGATCTATAATAATGTATACATTGATGTATAGTGATACAATGCATATGAATAAGTGCGACTGCACTATTCGAGACAGATCCATGAAAATAGATATATCTC